CCACCCGTTACCGATCACCCTTATAACTATATAACATAGTTATATTAAAGTTATATATTATACCTTTATTATATATTTATTATATTATAAATTTATTATATTATAATAATTTTATATATGTATATAATAAATATATATATATATAACTTTATATTATATTATATATAATATACGTAATAAATATAAAAGAAGAGAGAGAACACTATGCCAAAATGTAGTTAAATATAATCCCAACGAATTGTAAATGTTCCTCGTACATACACACGACACACACAAATATACACACACATATACACATAAACGTATACAGAAAAAATGACTAAATGGTACCTATAGATGAATATAATACAAAAAAAAAAAATCATAACAAACTAGGATGAATAGAAAGTAAACATTGTCGAAATAAGATTCGTCATATAATAGAAAATACATAAACTGTAACGGTATGAAGATAAAAAAAACGTAAACAAAGTCAGGATAAATTGTTTCAGATATATATAATATACGTTTATGTAACTTTTATGTTAATAGTCCTGTGTCTAGYAGTAGTAGTAGTGACGGTAGTAATGGTGTGAAATATTCCTCTGACGATTAGTATCTATGCCAAAGATTTTATTACGAGTTTAATCAGACAGTTATAAAATAAAATTCGTAAGCATATCATTTTCATACTTAATAGTATACTTAATAAAAAATTTTATAGTAACTGTTTCTTATTTTTTATAGTTTCTTTTTTGTGTTCTTTTTTCTAGAAAATTAATCTATTTTTTCCAATGTTATTATTGTTTTATATAGTTTGTTTAATTTTTAAAACAGAGTTACAATAATATTTGGGTGTGTTATATTACAGAGAATTAAATTACAATAGTAATTCTTATTGCAAGTCTTAGTAATGAAAAATAACAACTTTGCTTAATACAAAAGATAAAACGTTTATCGATATGTAAATCGATATGTAATAAAATTACTTTTAATTTTAGAAAAATAATAACATATAAAACATATAAAAATTATTTCTAATTTTATATTATAAAATAATATTAATATTAATCAATTATTAATTATATAATAAATAAAAATAAATTATTAATTAAATTATTTATTAACCCCTTAAGCAGCAATGATTTGAAAAAAAAAACGGCCAAAAAAATCATATTTTCTTTTTTGCATAAAGACATAGTTTAGAACATTGTTTTGACAAAAAAATTAAAAAATACAGAAATAATCAATATTTTTATGTTAATTTTGGATTTTGTTCCACATTACAAAGAAGAGCCGAATATTGCAATGTTACACGTACGTCGACTTTTTAATCTTTCTTTTCGAATTACTATTTCGGAAAAAACATTTTTCGGAAAAAACGTGTCTTCTTTCTTTGCTTTCACTTTCTTATTTTCAATTTTCTATTTTATTTGAGCGTAAAAAATCATAGAAAAATAAAATAATAAGCTAGAGTTAACTCGAGCGTGCTGCTTAAGGAGTTAATATTTTTAAAAATATAATATAAAAATATAAAAAATTAGAAATAATAATAATAAAAAAAGAATAATGATAATGATTACATCAAAGATTTTCTATTAGAAGGATACTATAATTTATGCACGTAAACGTAACGTTTGAACATATCGTCGTCAAAATCCGATTTGATTAGAAACTGATTTACCCCAGAGGCAAACCTATTTTCCATGTAACCTCTGACATTAGCATGTATTAATGATTCTCGACATGCTGCTGATTGGAACATAATGCAAATGCTACCTTTATTCCATCTCATTTATTCATCCAAAATTCTAAATTAAATCTCATATTTTTTTCTTTCCTAAAATTTATTTTTCATTTATTTCATTAGAAAAAAAAATATATTCTATTTAAATTAACACGCGCGCGTGTGTGTGTGAGAGAGAGAAACATTATGGAAAATAATTTTTACTGAAATGTTTTACACGTAAATTTCTATATTTTCGTGTGATAATTTTATGAGAAGTAAAATACAATACAAATGTTTATGATAATAATTTAGAAAAAAAAAGTGATGAGTATAGTTGTCTTGTTCTCTGAACGTAATGTTTCCATCATAACCATCATACCCATTTGATCGTTCAAACGAACATCCTCCTTGCATTGGTTTAGTTACACCCACGTTTAGTTAACCGATCTCACGATCAGAACCATTTATTAGTTGGGTTGCAAGGGGTGGTAATTGGCGGATATTCCATTAATTGAGACTTTAACCGATAATAAGAGTTATTAACACTCATTTTAGACTTATATTATTCTTCAAAGAAACTTTATACTTATTTATTATTAATTTAACAATCGATACAACGATATCAAATCTTTTACAACATTTATTTCATTAGAATTATTTTCATTCATTTTATTTCATTAGAATGATTTCATTCATTACATCAACATCTTCCTCATTTTATTTTCTTATAAAAAAAATAATTAGAACATGAAAAGTTGAAACAATATTCGTTTGATTAATTAAATAAAAAAACAATTCTATTGCAAAAATTTAAAAACAAAAATGTGTATGGTAGTTGTAATTTCTAAATAAATTTTGCATACTAGTAAAAGAATTAAGTTTGAAAATTTGAAATAGAATACGTGAAATGTACAAAATTCAATTTCAAAAAAAGAAATTGAATTATAAGATGAATGAAATGAATGAATCTATCAAAAACTTTGGTACGACCAACGAATAATGTTTTAAAGGAAATTAATCGAAGTAGCAGCAGGCAAACTATCCTAGAACAAAATGCTTCCACAAATCTAATTTATTATCCTAATTAACTATCCGTGTCTAACTTACCTATTGCAGTACCTAGCATTATTATTATGACTATTATTATGATTATGGTTTAAATTCGCATATATTATGGATGCTGCGTATACATTAAAGTATACTACGTTTCTATGTAACGTTATAAATTAGAAACTATTTGTAGATAAAAAACAAATTATAAATTACTTAAAATAATTTATAAATATTATAAATTACTAAAATAAATATAAATAACTTAATTATAATATATTTACATTATTTTAATTATATTATATATTTATAAATTATTATAAAAAAACCTAGAAATTATAAATAAATAAATTAGAAACGAATGAACAAAAAAATAAAAGAATATTTAAAGAAATTCTTATGAATAAAATTATGAGATTAATCGTCGTGGTATTTCTTATTCTAATAATAATAATAATAATAATAATAATAATAATAATAATAATAATAATAATAATAATAATAATAATAATAATAATAATAATAATAATAATAATGCGGGTATATTTAAGGTATAATAATACAATAGTGATATTAATAGAAAATAAAGTCAAGTTGGATAACAATAGAATATTTCCAAACGAAATATCATTAACATGAATGAGAATAGGAAAGAGAAGAAAATTAAATGAGATAATGAGAGAGTAAGAGAGAAAGAGAGAGAGAGAGAATGAATATGTTGGTAAGATATGTGTAACTATGAGAAGAAACACAACGTATGGATCATGTTTCTATAACTTGGCCTAAGTAAACTTCTCGCATTACCTTTCATGAATATATACGAGTATTTATGCATACCTGTTTTGTATATATATGTGATGTTTAATTGTGTATGTATGTATATATAAGTATGTAGATAAAACAGACAGTGCAAGAACTGTAATCGAAACTAAATGAATTCGTTTGACTCGTTTAGTTTTAACATTTAAATACTTTAAAAATAGAAAAAAAATGTAGAAATAATTAAAAAAAAAGAGAATGTTTATTTGATACCTTTCACACACACACACACACATGTGACATATATGACGTACAAACTATACACGAATATAAATGAAAATTACTCATCATTTATATTTTATCTTTTTTTTTTCTTTTTACAATTTGCAATGCAAAGGTTAGCATAATTATTAAATGACGTATAACAAATATTCGTAAAAAGAATGAGAAGTCAAACTTGAGGTTTCAAATTGGCACGTGTTAAGCAATTTAAAAAAGAAGAAAAAACACGAACAAGTGAGATATTCATTAATATAAATTTTAAATAAATGTTTAAGAATATTAAATATTATGAAAACGAAAAAAACCATAATCATAAATGAGTTTAATAAATATCATATACATAGTGTCGAGTTTATTTCAAGATAAATAAATTTATTTTCTTGAAAAATGATCGAATATTTTTTTTTTATATATTTCTACAGATGTGTTCGTTACAAGTTTTGTAGAAAAAATGAGATGTATGTAGAATAAACAATAAGATCGTTTATAAAAATAACATATTTCAAATTATATTCAGTATAATAATAATTAGTCAAGCTCCCAAAAGCATTATTACGAAAATTCTGACGTAATATTAAATATTTTATACCAACCAAATTAAAAAGCAAAAAAACCAACAAACCATAAAAAAAACCAAAATAAAATAAAATAAAACTTACTTGATATTCTTCGAATCAATATTCCAATGTATACTACCGGAAGTATATTTTTTCTTGTATGGAAATATACACTTTGAACAGTGTTGGCAATTGAAAAACATATCTCAACGTCGAATAATTTAATCAGATGAATAATAAAAGAAGAAAAAAAAGGACACTTCAGATTAAATCGAGACTGAGAACACACGTGTACACTTTTTAATCCTCTTTTAATTAATTTTGTATTTTAAAAACACAAATCCTTCTTTTTTTTTTATATTTTTATTTTTTTTTCTATGATGTATTTAAAAAATTATTTATTACTTTCGATCGTCATTGACGCTGAATGATATTTTAAATACAATTAATGTATTTTATTTTATTTATTTATATATATATATTTCGTTTTGATTGGACAGAATAAAAAAATGAAAAAATAAAAAGAAACTTCGAGCTATACGAATTATGCAGACATCTTGGATTATGCATGTGTACAAAATTAGATGTTTATGCAATCGTATGACAATTATATTACGTTTAATCTTTTTATTTTCTTCTTTTTCTGTTTTATTATTATTATTATTATTATTATTCCTGGATATTACACACTTCGATTGTTTCTATCGTTATTTAACATTTTCACATATTATATAATACACGTAACGCGTTATATTGGAATGTAGAGAGAAAGAGAGAGAGAGAGAGAGAGAGAGAGAGAGAGAAAGAGAAAGAAAGTAAAAAGTATATGTTATTAACTGTGAAGGAAAAAGAAAAACAGAAAAAATGGAGTAGAGTATAATTTGAAACCGATTTTTACCCACTTTCTACGATCACTTGAGAAAAAATACTTTAAATATTGGAAGGACGGAAACGTTATTTAAATATTTCAATTACTAAACATTTAGTGAGAGAAAGAGAGGAGAACATGGAGAGTTCGATTATTCAACGAGTAGGAAAAAATAATATTTCATTTGACGGAAAAAGTTTGAATGATTTTAAAACCTAATATCAGGTAATTAAACTCGACAATTGTGGTACTAATTAATTAATTTTCTTCCACTCTTTGTTTTTTTTAGTTAATTTATTTTATATTTTTAATTACAGTATTTTGAAACTCACGTTCATTCTCTCCCTTTCTGCTTTTATATATATATATATATATATATATATATAATGTAATAAAATATATATTTTAAATATATATTATATTATTTATATATAATATAATAATTATTCTATATTACATATAAATATATAAATATAAATATAATATTTTTTTTATATAATGTAATATTATATAAAATAATTTATATATATATATTTAAATAAAATATATAAATTGAAATATTATAAATATAAATTATTAAATATATATAAATTATAAGTTATATATTATTATCATTATTATTATTATTAATAATTTGATTGTAATTCAAAATTTTATTCAATCATTCCCCCTTCCTCCTTTCGTTCTATTTAATTTTCTTTTTTAAATATTTCTTCGTTTTTTTTCTAAATAATATTATCATACGAATATTAATACTTACGACCTTGATAATCACAATCAATTATTTATTATTATTATTATTAGTAGTAGTAGTAGTAGTAGTAGTAGTAGTAGTAATAGTAGTAGTAGTATTAGTAATAGTAATAATATTCTATAATTTCAATTGTACTTTCTCTTTCTCTCATATCTATTCATTTATTTATGAATTGTTATTAATAATATTAAATGAATGAATAATTGTGTGACTTCATTAAACCACGTTCCCGTCCGCGCGCGTGTACCGTTATTAATTAATAATTTACACCAATTATTAATAATAATATTATAATTCTGATTTTACCTTCTCGTATCTACAGATATATTTAATAATTATAATATTTGTTAAGTTATTAATTAATAAACGTTATAAACGCGGTTATACGTGTAGTACGAACAACTGACAGAACACTTTTACTGCCTTTGAAAAAGTTTACTGTGAAATATACTGACTCTTCGTCATTACCCTTTCCTCCTATATCTCATTTACACACTTCTACATATAACTATACTTAAACGAACACACACACACACACACACACACACACATAAACGCTCGTATAAGTATTCAGAAACAGAATGAGAGAGAGAAAGATAGGAACATTTTTTCTTATTGCGTCTACGTAAACAAAACAAAATATTTCAAATAAAATATAATTATATTTATCTTATTTTTATTATCTAATTAAATCTATTTTTATTTTTATTTTTATTTAATTTTTATTTTATATAAATTATTGTTTAGGCGAAGTAAAGTTTGTGAATTTTTTTTTTCTTTCTTTGGGAAATTTTTTCTGCAGAAATATTAAAACTTTCGAAATCAAAACTTGACCCAAAACAGAACCAACCAGGTATATTTCTTTGAACGGAAAGTATCTTATATGATTCCTCAAGGACGTTACTTTTACTTGCCTAATGAATACCATCTATGGGAATAAAAAAAAACGTATATGATTTAATATAATCTTATGTTGTATTGTATAATTTGGATTGATAATTAAATATATATATTCAGATATAATTACGATAATGATTTTTCTATTACTGCATCGTATTTTTTAATAATAAAAAATCAAATTAAAGAGAGAGCAAGAGAGAGAGCAAGAGAGAGAGAGAGAGAGAGAGAAAGATATAAATAGGTGAATTATGAAATAAAAAAATGTTATTAGCAGAATTTTTTCAAGTACACTCTATTTAAAACAGTCACTTCCTATTAACTTAGCTGCAACGAGACGAATGTTTGTCATAATTATTTTTTTTTCGAATTCGAAACGTAATTATTATGAGAAGTTACGTGTTACAACTGTGGTTTACCAATAATTAGATCGTTCATTTTAATTATTTGGTTTGGTTATTTAATATCAGACTAGAAAAAAATCTATGATATTGTCGTGGGATAAAGGTGATATTTTCTATTTGAAATTTTTATGTAACTATGTAACAAATAACACCCCTTATCGTAGTAAATTGTGTGTAAAGATTATTATCTTTTTTTCTAGACAATTTTCTAATAGACAAATTACTTGTATTGTATACAATTATTTATAAAATTATTGAAAAATTCTAATATATAAAACAGTACACTATAATAACATTAAATAAATTATACAATAATATTGCAATATTCTTTTTAATAATAATTTCTCGTAAATTAATTTAATACAAAAATAATTCGACATTTGCGTATCGTTTGACCTAATCAAAAATTTTAATTTAAAAAAGAATTCATATGATAAAAAAATTAAACAAATTTTTAACAAATTCTTACCCTTCAGTATCCTTTTCATTATCGGTATCCTCTCGATTATTTTCCTCTGTCATTTCGATGATCAAAATTTATTTTTATTATCAATCAAATAAATTGATATTTTTCTTATCACCTTCACACGATTATATTTTATATTTTTTTTCAAACAATATTATTATTATTTTTTATAATTAAAATCAAATCAAATGAATTTTGTATAACAAAAAAAATGAGATCAATTCGATTGAATAGGAAAAAAAATAAAAAGAAAACAAAAGATGAGACAAATTTTAATTGGTTGAAAGAAAGGAGAAGGGAACTGAAAGGTGGAAAATGTAAATAAAAAGAGTAAAATAAATTTTTATAATTTATAAAAGCACGAATAAAAGAATTTCACTTTTTTTGAACTTATTTCACACTGAACCAAGTGAAGAGAGATGGTAAACTAGTTTCAAAAGCACGACTAACGGACACAACGTTGTTAAATTCCAAATCCTATGGCTTCTTCCTTTCTTCTTTGGGAAGCCCCTACAAATTCTCTATTCTATTTTCTATAATTCCATAATACCATTACGTTGGGGTTTAACTATGACATTCTACGTAAAAAAGAATATTCGAAAGAATTCAAATCAAAATTATTTGTATTAAATATACTTTCTTATTTCAATTAAAATTATTTATTGATCAGATATAATACCACAGAATAAAATAACATTTAAAAAAAAAGAAATGTACAATAAAAAAATGGTATAAGACAGTTTCGTTGAAATATGTAAATTGTGGGCTTCCTTTAAGAACACCTGCCATGTATTTTAATCTTCCTCTGATAGGATTTTACCTTTTGCAAAACGTTGAACAAATAATTCATTATCGTAATATAATACACATTCTTTGTATATGTATATGTATTTAAAATATAAAATTAATTAAAATCTCAAATGAAAATAAATTCAATCAACAAAGTTTAATTATTGATTATAGTTTATCAAAACTTTATATAAAATTATATTTTTTATATATTTTGTATAAAATGTTTGACTGGTCAAACTGATACAATCAAAACCAAAAAGTAAACTACTCGAAAAGTTGATATATATTTTTTGTGAACCAGTACACAGTTTGTAGTCCAGTAGAATCCTTTCTTCTTCATCTTTTGGTATTTGAATATAAAAAGAAATGTATGATAAGAAGATAAACATAAACTTGGTGGTACACTCAACGTTGAAGAAGAAGAAGAAGAAGAAGAAGAACGTAAAACGAACGACACCTTACGTGAATGGGAAAGAAAAAGAAAAATAAAAAAATAGAAAAAAAAAGATCTACAAACCTATGTTTACACCACTTACGACAGTGCTAGATTGTAAAGCATCTTTCTCTCTTTCTTTCTTTGACTTTTTCTTGTTTACTTTTTCTCGTCCTTCAAATGCATCCCTGCGTTTATAAATACCTTTTGAAAGAAAAGTTGACTAAAAAAACGTCTCCTTTTTAATATCCCTTTTCATCAAGCAGTTTTCTCAAAGCCACTATAAACGACAACAACTAAATAAGAAAGAAAGAGTGAAGAAATAAWTATAATTAATTGCTGTATGCATTTTATTTAATATCATATTGGAAATAATTTAATTAATCATATTTTAAAAAATAAAAATAAAATATGAAAAATCTTTCAAATAAACAAACTAAATACTAACACGTTAAACTATTTCTTTATTCTATTTTTATTTCTATTTTTTGTTATTATACATTTTTTTTATAGAAACGATAACGCTACACGCTCGAGATGTATCGAAAAATAAATTTTGTCTTTCGTATATATCAACTATCTAAAGTATCAACACAAAGAGATCATATAGGTGTGCAAGATGAGTCACAGAAAGAGAAAGAGAGAGATAGAAATAAAAAGAGATAGAAAGAGAGAGAGAGAGRGTGAACATATACATCACACACAGTTTCCGCATTACGCTTGAATAAATGTGCATTCTGTTAGAAATGGTTGCACTAGTTAACACGTTTCCATCTTTTTTACGTTCTTTCTTTCTTTCTTTCTTTCTTTCTTTCATTTTCTTTCATTATTTTTGTCTCGTTTTAATGCTATTGAACTTATGTGTGTTTTCCATCACACCCCAACACTATACTAATTGCTAGAACAGTTTGAAATGTATTTCATATTTGTTTTTCTTATTTATTTGTAGATATTTATGGTTCATTTTAATCGGTAGGTTTTCTTAAACATTTGTTTTGGTTCACGACCCTCTTTTTTTTAGAAATTTTTCTTTACAACCCTTTTTCTAAAGGTAGTAGTAAAGGGACCAGCCCTGTTTTTAAGAACCACTGCTCCAAATAACTGCTTTCCTTTCTTTCTTTCATATCTCTTGTTGAATTTGTGTTTGTATTTGGCTTTGAATTGTTTTTTTGTGTGTGTATATGTGTATACAAGTAAGTGTAGTAGTTGTGTATTTTTCACTTTCAGCAAAATTGCAAATGCATTCAGTCTTTTAGTAGCACTCGTTCAATTTCCTGTGTACTTGACAATAGCATGTTTGAGAAACCAATATGAATGGGTGTTCTTGGATGTGCATTATGAACATTTCTACCTGTGTATGTATAGATCTTCTTACACGTAGGTGTAATAATGAAAACTTCGTTTTTAATATGAACCTGTGATTTATGTATGCTCAAATATACTGACAATGAATAATTTGAAGTATTAATGCACGTCTACCTGGGGTTTAATTAATAAATGTATTATTCATTTCAATTTTTTCTTGAGTATTCAATTAATAAATAAAAATATAAAGGTACATCATATTAATGGGATTTCATCTATTTCAAATATCAGATTGTCTTAAGATTATCTCAATAACTTTGAAGATACTTCAGTAAAACACTGTAGATCGTAATAATGATATAATAAGTACTTCGAAGTAGTAAGAAAAGTATCTGGTAAGAGAAGTAAGGGGAAAGTAGGGAAAAAGATGAAAAAAAGTGGGGGTGGGAAGAGAAAGAGGAAAAAGGTCTACTCTGTCACGTTTCGTTCTCATTTTACTTTTCCGTGTTTAATCATTAAATATCTTTCTCTCCTTCTAACGCACACAAACACACACATACAGCAAACACGTACGCATAAGTGCTAACATGAAGAAACGAAATACAACGCCCTTATGATCGATCGATCTTTCTTATGTAACATATTACGTGTTAAAAAGAACACAAATAAGAAAAATGTTAACCCCTAACATTATAACATTACATTTTGGGTATTTTAAATATGTTTATGTTCCCTGAAGAACGTGCATGGTTGGAAATAAATTTAAAAAATATCCCCCAAGTTTGGGATGGTTTTTGGTATCGAATAATCAATTTTTTATTCCGATCAAAATAATCGTTAGAAAAATTTGAAACTCTATAGAATTTATCTTTATAACAATAACTAACTATCAGAATATTTACAGTTGATTCTTTAATTTAATTTTAAAGTTACAGTTAAATGAAATGAAAAATGTTTTATCAAAGAAACGAGTTAAAACAAAAATCAAATCACACGTTGATTGTATTAACATTTTTATACCTTTAACAGAAATGTTTTTTTTATTTTATTAACAAACATATTCAATATCTATTAACTATATTCTCTCTTTCTCTCTCTTTCTCGTTTTAAATGGTTCATTCTTTAGAAAGAAAAACGTGTTACTCTGATGACGGTTTTTAATAAACGTGCCTCAGGGTCTTTGGCAGTAATTCCAAATAACTTTGCATGGTAATGCTTCCTGTGGTTTGGTATTTGAGAATTAACGTGCAAATTGAAAACACACGTTAAATGGTATATAAAGTTAAAGAAGGATGGTAAAGAAAGGGTTTGAGGATGCAAAAGGGACGAGAAGGGAAAAGGGTGGACAATTTATAACAACGACAGATTTACAACGAATATCAAGGTGATATGAAACTTATTGAACCGGTTGACATACATTGTACACATATATACACTTACACACATCCGTAAATACATTGAATGCAATTCCCCATAAAAAAAAATATTCTTCCTTTTATTTGTTTTTTTCATGTGTAACGCCGATAATATTTGTAACTTTATGGTCAGAAATGAAACGAGGTATTAACGTTTATTATTAATTGCATGGTAATCCAATAAAACTGTCCAACTAATTTATTTGAAACGTTTTATACAACGCATGTCTCCATGTGTTTTTTAACCTATAATTTTTTTTTTACCGTAGATTTTTTGTTTCAACGTGTTGGTATTAGGATAATAATAATTGGAGTATTTTAATTTCGAATAAGCGTTTGAATCATTTGCATCGAGTACTTATGTAATCTTTTGTGTTGTTAAAAGCCAGATGATTTATTTTTATTACAATAGTTTTTACACGTAACTAAGAAAATAATCAAGTAAGTAAAACGATGGTAGTCTAATTAAATTTATAATAATTTTCTTTTTGGTTTTAGTTTATCGATCAATCGAATACACAGTTTTAATAATTATTTTGACAAATGACAAATAATAAAATATAAATTACTTACCAATAAATGAGGAAACTTTTGTATTCCCAAGTATGGACTCCTCGGAACAATTGTAAAAAATTGCACTTAAATAAGAAAAAAAGAAAAGAAAAATACAATGACGATTAAACTGAAGTATTTAAAAAATCGTAAGTGAAGTAACGTAGATTATTCTAAATCTAATACCGAGGTTGATTCTAATTCGCGTTAGTGAACGCAACTGGAGGTACCAAATTAGACGGCTGAAATTTCGCGGTTAATACGAAAATATACGAAGAAGAACCGAAGTTGACCGAACGTTGACGCGAGCCGACCGTGTGATAGCGCATGCGCGCCACCGTTCGTAAATATTCAGTCGTGCTCTTAGGGAGTTCGCGAGCACAACGGAGGGATTACTAGGAGTGGGGGTAAACAGCGGCGCGGTAGATTTTCGCGCATGTTCCCCACTCATACAGATGCCGGTCGCGGCGCTGAGAGCACGTATAGGGAGAGTGACACTATGCCGCGCTGTTAAAAAGGTAGAAGAAGAAGAAATATAACAGTAACGCTAATAGTAGTAGTAGTAGTAAGAGTATTAAATAAGTATTAGTGTAGCAATAAAGGACATTCGTTGACAACGTCAGAGACTATTGCATTATATGCACTTTCTGTCATATATTTTTCTCTTTATCGAGAGATAGAATAAAATTGAGTAAAAGTAAAACAGAGCAAAAATGTAAAAATGGGTTAAAATATGAAAAAATGTCATTAAAAAAAATGACTTACCTCATCGATTGGGAGGACTTTCTCGTATGCAAGCCTCGTCTTAGTCAGCTCCTCATTCTACCTCTCTTTCGTTCCTTGGTTGCAAGCACGGTAGCCATGTCAACAATGCAAACGTATCTCTCATCGTCTTCTTGGATGATCACCGCCATGACAAACGTATAATCCTCTTCCTCTTCCTGATGTTTCAAATAAAAATAATTATAACAAATCTTTTTATTAAACTTTTTACATCGTTGTTAAATATTAATTTAGATTATTTTTTGTTGTTATCAAACGCGTGTACACACACACACATACACACATATACACACGTGCTAGAGCTCTTTAAAAAGATAACCCACGGACACACAATGAAATTGATTATATCTCGTACGGTGGACTCGGTCGGTAAATTAGATTGGACATTAGAAAAGTAGTTGAAAAAATAGCAACAGGTCGCGTTAGGGTGCGCGCGCGTTGCAAGACGTTACACATAGTTAAAATTTATACATACATATAATTTTTACTTAACACATCCATATTATAAGTGTATACATATACTTACATACTAAATACACCCGTTTTCTTAGTAGAAAATTGTGTTAGGGTTTTAATATTTGGTGGTGTTTGTTTACAGGGGGTTGGTCAAACTGATGCTCGATGGCGCTTAGTGACAAGTTACCAGTTTTTTAGCAACAAAGGCGTCTCTCTCTTTCTCTCTCAACCAACAACATTTGACAATCTATTTTTGGTACTTTAATCTATAACTCAGGTGAGTTAATATTAAATCGAATCATTACCAATGAATTATTAGGTGAAAATTTAAATGAACTCTTTTTCTTTTTTTATGTATTATTGAACGATAAATGTGAATATACTAACACGAAAACACTATTTTAAACGAAGGCTACTATCGAACCGGCCTTACTACGGAAATCACGGAGAAGGAGATGTAAAAGAGAGAGAAAGAAATACTCGTGCCGGCCGCCATCATTATTAATAGTTACTCACTGGAAATCTCTCCATCTCTTTCTCTTTTACTTTCTCATTCTCTTCTCATTCATATTCAATTTTTCGTTATCCTTTCGATCCATCCTATCTGTGTAATGCATTTTAATTAATTTATGCAGTTTACTTTATATAGTCATGGTATTTATATGTCACATATTGCCGACACGTTTGTATGGGTAAGAAAAAAACTAACCTATCAGTAAATCAAAATTTTGCAATAAAATATAAATATTACTATATTATTTATTTATCGATATATTCTTAATAAATATTTAATTATTTAATTGTTAATTATAGTAAAAGAAAATAATTATAATTTAATATTATTCTCTTTCTATTTTTCTTTCTATCAGAGTAGTTATGCGCATGCGCAAAAAACTTCTTTCAATAAAAGTGGTTAAAATTAATTTCAATAATAAAACAATAATTATAAATTAAACTAATAAACAATTTGATTAATTTAATCATATGATTCGATGAATTWATTAATTAAATAATAATTGGTATATAATATTTTAATTAATGATTGAAAACATTAATAAATATAATTTTAAATTGAATTAAAATTGTGCATGCGTGAAACAGAATGCGCAGAAGTAGCCTAGTAACTTCAAATTTTATATGCATAGATATATATATATATACATAAAGAAATTATGTTTAGTATGTATAAGAAATATAACAAAAGGAATACAATGAAGTATAAAAGGAATGAGAGAGATAGAATGAGTAATGTCTAACTTTTATACCAACACCGGGAAACTTGAATGGAATATTGATGCAGACTGAATTCTCTACACACACTATTTTCATCCTACCATTTTACGTATATACCAAACTATGTATATACATATATATATATACATGTGTGTGTGTTACTTTATATACTTATCCATACGTAAGCAGAGTCGTGTTTTATCCAACGAAATGTGATAGGTTCCTCTCTATTCTTGGTTCAGTTCGATGTCACGTCATTTCTATCTCTCTCTCTCTTTCTCACAGATACACACACACACACACACACACATATAGCCATGCTAATATATATATTTAAAATTATTGCTTTGTCTTGTATAGTGGTAAAGAAGACATATTTAGAAACTTTAGTTACCATTTATAGACCAGACAGTTCAATATTCCCACTATTGCAACCAACAACATATATGTATATACAAATATATATATATATATATATATATATATATATATATATA